CATATGAATATTTTAATAATTAGATTTGCATCAATGAATAATAACTCTAGAAGCATGGCCTTTCTGAATTTGTTGTCCTGGCAAACTGCACAGCTTGTCTGTTTAATAAGCTGTCTGGATTGAATAGTTGGCAGTTTTGTGTCTTTTTTTCTGTTAATCAGCCTTGCAAATACAGTGTTGAGTGTTTGCTGTACATCAGAAGTATAAAATATTTTATCTGCTGTAGTACTGCTGATCATGGAATATAATATTAAGGAACTGTCATTGCAGGTCATCAGGAGTTACGTATCTGTGCAGCTCTCCACACCTGTAAGATACTCTTCCTTTTGAAACAAATAGCCCTCGTCTAAACACGTCCTGAAATCTTAGATCCCCTAAATCTGGGGTTTTCATGGGGTGTGCTTTCAGAATCATTTGCCCCGAGATAATTTGCCATTGAAGAGGCAACTTGCCACGTGTAGTATACAATGTTACGTGTCTTCCATCGGTAATGTTCTTCCAAAGTATACAGAAGAACTGATGGCAAGTTCCTCTTCTTGTGGGGATGAATAAGGGTGTGATAGAGACACTGATCTAACTGAAAACTACACTCATGGAAAGAGTTTTAGCGTTCCTCTCGGATGTAGCCAAACTTCGCAAGTTGTGTGGGCCTCTTTTCAGTACAATAGCATTCCTGTTTCAGCGCTGGGGTGTTAAATGCACCTAAACGATGGTGGAGTCAAACTAAGGGCAAGAACGTAGCTCCTAATGTAGACTTGTCACTGTACTGATATGGTCTGTGTCAAGGAGTGGATAGGAATCCGCCTTGGCTGTGGTAGGTAGGAAAAGGCAAAGACGAGGTGCGGTGTCCATCACACGTGGAAATTTGTCTTGCAGCACAAAATGTTTTCTTGCAGCCCCGTCTATATGCCAGTCTGGCAATGAAAACAAATGCTGTATATATTTTATTTTGTTGTGTGATACATGGCTAGTTTTCTTCAGTGTTTGCGTATGCCTGTCTTGTTCTCCAGAGACTGTCTCTCTCTTATGATTTTGTCTTTAAAAGGCGTTCACCTTTCCAGAGATGTGCCATGATGATCTTGAGCTTCATCACAGTCTTTACTCCTACGCTTATAATTTCCAGCTGTGGCCCCAGTCCTGCAATATGAATACGGTGATACTTTGCAGGCATCGCAGGGAACCCTCAGGAGTGGGTCAGGACTTCATTTTTATAGCAAGCAATAGTAATTCAGCTTTCTCAGACTTTAAAGCGCAGGTTACAGTCCCTTTGGAAATTTTTATGGATGTATTTAATCTTGGAGCTGTGCCACCAATGTCTATCTATTGCTTTGTGATATTGTTCTGACTCCTGAGAGATGGTCTTGCTGAAATATTTCCAAAATAAAACTCTTGCTATCCCAGCTATATTTGGACTAATAGTGGGATAAGTTATGGTTTATCAGATCGGCTTTCAGGACTTGCACTCCAGCGGGGCCCTGAGGTTCCAGAGAAGGGAAAGTTTAAGCAGGTCTGTTGCAGCATTTCCCACCTCTTCTGCCCATCCTCCTTTGCTGTAACCTAAAACTATAATATTCTGCCTCCCAGCACAACTGATTCTTTCTGCCTCTCTACTCTTTTGGCTTACATAAAAGGAATCCCTTTTATGCGTCCCGTTCAGATTTAGGCTACAAAGTGTTAGTTTAGTTATTGGTTTTCAGAAATACTTATATTTTGATAGTGCTGGAACACAAACGATCAATACCTAAGTGTTTCCTTTTTGTGAGGTCTATCTCTGTTCTCCGTTAAGTTGTCCAAATAGGCAAATTGGACGAAGGGTTGTGAAGAGATAAGGGGGAAGAGAGGTGTAAGGCCATAACAAGTCCACAAGTATAGCAAATGTCCAAATAGTTATGGGTAGATATCTAACTTGATTCACTTATTATTGGTAGAGATTTAAGAGAAGAGAAGAGAGAAAGAAAATGCTGGTACTTTATAGGTAGAAAGGCAAAAGAGAAAAAAGTATTGCGTTTGTTTAAAACAAACAAAACAAAAAAAAGGTATTTTTTAAATCTTACCTTATTCCCCTGCTCCTATGAGAGTTTGCCACTGACTTCCATGGGACCATAAACAGATCTCTGCTTTATCTTCTGGTATACAGTGACATCTACAGAGAGTGGAGCACATCAAACAAGACTTTCCCATTTAGTACCATGTCTTTTTTATGACTGTTTTATGTATTCATTAGTTTAAAGTTACTACTTTATTTTATGGTTTTTAATGTATGTACAGTATTATTTATCTCTGTACATTCCCATGGAGATCTACCTATTTTTTTTAAAAAAGTTACTTCACCCTGACAGAAGTTATTTTGACGGTGGGAAATGCAATAGCAGTTTACGCACCCAAACAGAAATTACTTTCTCTTGATGGGTAGAATGTCTAGTCTTATGGTGTAATGCCCTGGAAGATTTCAGCTTTTTTGAGGTAAAGTTTCTTTCACAACTGTGTTGTTCACATCAAGAAGTGGGTTTTTGATGCTTTCGGTCTGAGTGCTTATTCTGAATTATCATGCAAATAGGTTTTTCATTAGAAGTGTTCAGTATTGAGGTAATGTTTTAAATTATTTAAAGAAAATACTAAAATGTAAATGCCATTTAATTTCAAAAAATTCCAAATGAATAAATCAATAAAGGTACATATAGGGCTTTTTTTCAGGATTTTTCTTTGTTAGACAAAATCCTTAATTCTGTTGCATGCATTTTTGGTGGGTTTTGCTTCATTGATTTTTTTTTTCCCCTTAATTTTTTTTTTTTAAGTTTCTACAAGCTTACTGGCAAGAAAAAATAGCTAGCTTCTGCAGTATGATTTTATTGTGTTTCATCCTTTATTTCTCTGGGCAAGACAAAACAGAATCCAGCCTAGTATGTGTTTATAGAACATTGCCTGTGAATACTATTTTCTTAAGACTTGGGCACATGTTTTAACCTCATGCACTGGACATAGTCTCAGTAACTTCAAGACAACCATTTAATGCATAAAGTTAAACGTGCATGTAAATCTTTGCCAACATAACCCTTAGGCTACTGAGGCTCTAACCCCACATTTTAAAAAGGACTTTGTAATAAGTAATTTTTTTTTAAAGACGCTTAAAGGGAGGGGAAAACTAAAATTTCCACTCCAAATATAAAAAGACAAGGAAAAACCCCATTATTTTTATTTCTGCTGTCTTTAAAAAGGTAATTTATTATGTATAAGAGTGTAGACACCTAGGCTCTGAACTTCATGGCATTTATTTTTTGATTGTTCTTCTTCATGCTTTTTATGTAAAGGTCTTAATTTTGGTATTTCAAAATACTGTCATTTGGGGGTAATTTTTCTTTGCTCTTGGATAACATTAAATGTATCAAAACAAGGTTTAAAATTACTAAATCAGCATGTATAAATGCATCAGGAGTTGTTTTAGTCTTCTTTTTTCCCCTACCAGGTCAGATGCTATAATAATAATAAACTGCAAACCAGATCCAGGCCTCATTAAACTAATACAGCAGAATGATAATCAGAAAATTGCCAACTAAGGAACAAAACCCAGAAGTTTTAAAACTTATTAAGCGATTGTGGCTGATGAGCAGGTTTTATAGCCAAGACTTTCATGTCTGAAAAATGACCCTGATAGTTTGCCAGCTGACATTATTGGTTAATTTGTGTTAAACTCAATTTTTGTAGAAGAAAGAACACAAAGGAAAATAACATCTCAGTAGAGCAAGAGGGAGCACTTAAAACCCATGTAGTAAAAATCTACTCGTACATATAAAATCCTTGGCAAAAAGCATTAAACCCTTTGGAGAAATAAATGAGTAAAATAGTCTCTGTAAAATATAAACAAACAATAAAATATATGTAAGCAGTGAATGCTAGAAGGACATGAATGATTTTCTAGGTATTCAAAGACTTATGCTCCAATAAAAGATAAAGTGTATAATAGATGAAACATGTCCATTCCCTAAGAGACAGAATAATTAAAAAAAAAAAAGGTGAATATGCTAGTGGTAATGTTTTAGCATTCAAGGCTGTCAGCATTTTTCCTCTTGTAGAGATCTGTTATGTGTCCAAACTCTGGATTTCTTTTCTTATTCTTATATTCAGAGATTTTCAGTTGGGATTGAAGGGAGTAAGAAAAAAAGAAAAATACAAAACATGTTTATGCTCTGTAGAGTTTCACAAATAATTGAGCAAATTTCCATTTTTATAGTTGTTTCAAGTATGACTTTTCTAACACTAAGTTTAATCACAGGAATCTTTCAATTGCTGCACAGTTATTACTGAAAGAGGCATCTGGAAAATGTCTTCCATTAGCTGTGGGTTTTGGCAGAGGCTATAAGCAAGCATGGTCAGTGTAATTAAACTGACAAGTGCTTGAGATACTGTATTTGTTTGCTGTATGTACTTTCCTTCAATAAATATTAGTATTTCTTCTAAATCTTGTACTCTAGCTGGTGACCCTGACAAGATTTAAACGTTAGTATAGCATGTAACATGGCAGCACTGTGGGGGGGCAACATTTAGGACAACATATTAGAAGCTTTCTTAGCAAATACCCGTTTGCAATAGATGAGCAGCAATAGATTTTTTCATGAAAAGCTCGATCTGACAGAGAAGGCAAAATACCTGACTCCAGCAGATTTCTCTTAGTAAGCTGTAAAAACCCTTCAACAGAGAAAAATAAGCCTGGAACCCTAAACTTCCAATGCTTTCAAAACTTTGTAGGATTTCGGTGTGAATCCTTAACTCTCTTTCTGATAAATATCAGAATACGGCCTATGAACTCATAAATTTAGCCCCTCAGGGTACCTGTGGGATTAAGCCAACCGTACTGCAGATTTTCGGTAAATGCTGAATAATGAATGGTCTCTCGGTCAGGTGATCTCTAACAAGGGTTAACCCTGAGCAGTAGCTTTCTAGCTTACTTTATTTGGTTTCAAGTTTGCATTGCTCTTTATAACTTCATGTACCTCTTCATCTAGACACCTCTTTATGTTGTAAACCATGGTGAGACTGGACCAATCCGATGCAACAGATGCAAAGCTTATATGTGTCCCTTCATGCAGTTTATTGAAGGTGGAAGAAGATACCAGTGTGGATTTTGTAATTGTATAAATGATGGTAAGTGATGTTTCTCTGATCTGTGATTCATACAAATTCCATAAAAATAAAAGACGCTGTATTCCTAAAATGATTTTCTTGACTTGCAGACTTGATGAGAAAATAGTTTAGTGAGATGCAGTAACTAGGCCTATTTCACAAATAAAAAAAATACTACCCAAGAAAAATACGTAGAAACATTTGTTCAGTACAATTTAAAAAAATAAATGTATGAAAAATAATGCTGACTCTTGAAGTCCAGTCTGATATGATCAAAACTTTATTTAAAAATATTATGTCAATATAGGATACAAAGCTGCTTGTATTGCTAACTGAAAGCAACTTTTGTATGGAAACAATTAATTTCTTTAAGAAATCTAAATGTCCAGCAAGAACCAAATATTTAGAACCATGTTAGCGTAGTCCTGTCCGTGACTCTGGATGCAATGGTTAAATAAGCTATTAATCTTACTGTGACAAGTGTTGGTTTTCACAGAAGATACCATGCCATATTTGTTCAAGTGTGCTGCATGTGACTCATAACTGTTCTTGTGCTCTTGGCTAAATCCCAAATCTTTGCCAGAACTAGCCTTTCTAGACATTTGTATCAAGTTGGATTTCCTCAGCTGGATCACAGCGGTATAGTGCTTTCCCTAATACAGTAATCTTTTCAACTCTGAAATGTGAACCTTGACAGACTCGTTCCAGCTTCTTTTCAGCCTGACGCTCAAATATTTGTGCAAGCATAGCAGATAACAAATTTCATAGTTTGTTAGCAATTTAAACTCTCAATAAGAGAAATTCAAATGCATTGTGAACATTTTAAGAAAGACATTTAAGTTGCAGTGTCATTTTAAATCATGCTTTGTATTACTACAGTGTCTTTTATTCAAATCAGAAAGCATTTAAAAAAAAACTTTAATGAGGACTAAAAACAGCGAACAAACCAGATAGGTATTGCCTCCATGCATACACATATATACACTTTTTACATGCAAAAATGTGAAAAATAAGCATTCTAAATACATATTGATTGAGGAAAGAAGAACTGAAATCCAGAGGTGACTCTTCCCTGGTGTGACTCTAACCGTTAGACTAACTGTGTATAGATTGTTGGTGGCAAACCCACTTGATTTCTTAATGCTTTGGAGTTCTGCACCTTTTATCTGTAGCTGCAGAAGGTTCCCAATATAACGTACCCAATGCACTGTGCCGCACAGTAGGCCAGGGTTGTGAACCTTGTAGAGCTATTTCCAGTGAAGTTGTATTTTTGAATAAAGCAGTACAGGCTTTAGGAAAAGTGCTGTTTTTACCGCTGTCCCTCTGCAGAGCTCTGGGTCTGGTGGTTTGAATTAAGCTGTGAGTAGACTGTATCTACTAACAAAATAGTCACTGAGGGTAACAGGCCTGTGGAAATGACCTGGGTCAGTTTTACCTACTCAAGCCTGAGAGTGTAGAGGTAGGAGAATATGGACATTTATAGGGGAATATGCCCTATCCTCCAAAGACAAAAGGAGCTGGCATTGCTAGAATGTTGTGCTGTTTTGTTTGGTTGGGTTTTTTTAAGCCAATGTGGGAGAAAAAAACCATTGCAACCTGAGTAAGTGTTTAAACTCTTCCCTTGATCGGTAACAGAGGAGCCTACATTAGTACATTGTATCTGTTGAAAGAAGTTGTTGGGTTGTTCCCCTCCTCCCCAAAATATAAACGCTTTTTCCTGCTCTTGTGTTGGCTTTTAGTCCCTCCATTCTTCTTTCAACATCTGGACCACATTGGCCGACGGGTAGACCACTATGAAAGGCCTGAGCTATCTCTGGGATCTTATGAGTATGTTGCTACTTTGGATTATTGCCGAGTGAGTATTTCCAGTATGCAAACTAATTTACAATTTTATGTCAAAACAAACAAAATCCTTTAAATACCTACAGTAGAGTAAATGCACTTGTAAGCTGAATATCAGAGTCCAGGAACATTCTAGAAAATGTAGATAGATGTGGAGAATTTAAGCTTACAATATTATGTTTTGTTCTTTTGTGCTGCAGAGTATGAGACTAGAAAGTAAGAATAACAAATAGCGCAGCAAAGTCATGGATCACCAGTCTTTAACTGGGGTGTTTGTTTTGTCCTAGCTAGCGTGTTGCACTGTTTAGAGGATATCGTTGAAATTCTGATGCAGTGTTGCATTATAGATGCATGTCTTCTACTGATTTTGAAGACAGACACACGCCTAAATTGCCTTCCCAATATTGAAAACCGTAGCAAGGGAATTTGACCTTGTAATCTTTTCCTGGCAAGAGTAGTTTTGGTATTCTGACCAGTAAGTAAGTTGCAATGAAATGGGTTCTCTCTCCTGATACTAATTCACTGAGAACTCAATCCAAAGCCCACTCAAGTCACTGGAAATATTTGTAGTTGATTTTATTAGAGAACTGTATTTGATACTTCCGAAAGCATAAATTACTTAAACTTTTCAAACTTTAGCTCATTTTATTAAACTGCAAGTGTGACTTCATCTGCCTTACAGTATGGACATATTTTTCCTCTTCTTGCTGAAACCGGGCAGAATTTTCTTCCTGTCAGTGGAATTGAGGTCATGATAAGGTTACGAAAGGCAACTGGATCCTACGAAGTCTTGAAGTAGATACCAGTAACTTCCTCAGACCATCAAATTATTGCTGGTATGAAGAAAATGAACAGGTTTAATTCTGCTTTCTTGGTAGGGTACTGCTCCAAAATCCAGTGAAATCCCTGAGAATGACCTATACAGATTTTATTGAAATCTGGGTTAAACCCCAGAACAGGAGAGAATTGTAGTGAGGCATTAGAGAAATACATTGCGGGATCCTCAGTGTACCTCCATCAAATTTGGTTAAGCTTTGCTGATACCTGGCAGCTAAACTTTCAAAAACTCGTGTACTGAATGGCTGTGTGCCGTTTTCACAGTTCTTTTTCTCTACTCCAGAGTGTAACCCTGTGTGATGCATTCATCATCACAGTGCATCTTTCAGTGCAGTGGCTTTTGCCATATAGCTTAAATCAGGGAGTTTCCTTGGTAAGTCATCCAGTATGGTCTGTCTTCTTGTGGCAGAGACCTGTCCATAGACTTACTAGAATGTTACAAAAAACAAATCTCTTACAAAATTAACACTTACGCTGGAAATGCTAAGTCATTAGGTTTTACAGAAGTTAACATTATTTTATAACCCATTTTTCATTTTGCTCCAAGTTGCAAAGGTTTAATTGTTTTATAAATCCCATTTAAGACCATGTTATGATTTAACCCCAGCTGGCAACTGAGCACCTCGCAGCCGCTCGCTCACTCCCCCCGGTGGGATGGGGAGGAGAATTAGAAGAGTAAAAGTGAGAAAACTCATGGGTTGAAATAAAGACCGTTTAATAGGTAAAGCAAAAGCTGCGCACGCAAGCAAAGCAAACCAAGGAATTCATTCACTCCTTCCCATCGGCAGGCAGGTGTTCAGCCATCTCCAGGAAAGCAGGGCTCCATCACGCATAACGGTTACTTGGGAAGACAAACGCCATCACTCCGAACGTCCCCCGCTTCCTTCTTCTTCCACCAGCTTTATATGCTGAGCATGACATCATATGGTATGGGATATCCCTTTGGTCAGTTGGGGTCAGCTGTCCCAGCTGTGTCCCCTCCCAACTGCTTGTGCATCCCCAGCGTCCTCGCTGGTGGGGTGGGATGAGAGGCAGAAAAGGCCTTGACTCTGTGTTAGCACTGCTCAGCAGTAACGAAAACATCCCTGGGTTATCAACACTGTTTCCAGCACAAATCCAAAACACAGCCCCATACTAGCTGCTATGAAGAAAATTAACTCTATCCCAGCCAAAACCAGCACAGACCAGAACTGAAAAGTCATTTCCTTTTGTGCTTATCAAATGACAAGGATGAACAGCTACAAAAAATGTTAACAAATAACAGCTGTTCTGCATTATTGTGCTCCTGCTAAGCGGATGTGGCAAGAGCACAAGTCCTCATTTCTACCATATATTTGTGAGAAATTACACAGGGATTCTTTATAAATGGTGATGCGATACAAGAGTTTAGAAGTAGTGTTTGATACGGTTTTTGAAACTAGAATCCAAGTACAGTAAACAGAACAGCTTTTAAAAATATGGCCTAGTTTTAGTTCACAGGAATTAATCCTTGTATTTTCTGTTTCCAGATTGGTTAGAAATCACTTAACAGTTGTTAGAGGCAAATACTAACGAAAACTGAATTTAAGCATTCACGTTAACAAAATGGTATTGCATATTGATATAGGAAATGCAAAAACAGTATGGGTACAGAAAAAAGCCAAAAGGCAAATTTGTTTAAACACTTGAATTCCAGCAGAAAATGTTTGTGTTTCATCTTATCTAATAAATTGTTACCCTTTACATATTTTATTCCATTAGGACGCTATTTTCCAGTGATAATTTTTTATTCCAGGGGTGGACTTTAAATACACTGTTCAGTTGTTTGAAAAATGCTATGGATCATAAATAGTAACTATTGCAGAAAGCTGACACGTATTGGGTAGATTGCCTTATGGTACCATCTGTAAATTTTTTCGACATAACAGGACACTGTCTAATTTTCCATTTTTTGTGAATGGTCATTTTTTCTGTAGAACAACAAGCCTCCAAAGCCACCAGCTTATATCTTCATGATTGATGTATCATACAGAAACATAAACAGTGGCCTAGTTAAACTCATATGTGATGAACTGAAGACTCTGCTAGATAAACTTCCAAGGTAAAGAAACATAAGTGTGCTTTGCTTAACTCACTGCACTGCAATTTTCATGCAGCTTTGCATGTTGTGAGGTAAAAACAAGCTACAGAAAATGTCAAAATTTACAGTACAGGCATTTTGGGGGTGACAGTGACCAAATGTTAATTTTAACATTGCTGGCAGTTCTTAAACTTTAATGTCTGGGCTTACTATATGAATGGAAAGAATCTGTCATAGTAATTGCACATGTAGCTTGCATTCTTTTCCTTTCTTGTAGTGAACTCTAGTGGTATTATCAGCTAAGTCCCAGCTTGTAGTTTTGACTTTACTGGTTGTAGTACTGTTTACTGCAATGCTGCTTTTCTCGTTAAATTAAACAGGGAAATATCAAAACCAGAATACTTAAGAATAGCAAGTCTCTCTAAAGCCATAGTGTTGGTGGCTTGTATCTTTAGCTCTTATTGTTAATTAGCAAAACTTCTAAAGCTTCTTGCTGTGCTCTGAGGCTTTTCTGTCCTGGTATGTATCTGAGAGGAGAACAAATCTTATAGGCAACATTTTATGAAATACAGCACATTGGCTTTGTGAGCATTAAACACACAGTATTAGTATTACTACTGATCCATATTAATGACAGTGTATTATTTTAGTGTAGTTTAGTATGGTTTTTAGTGTCGTTTTCATTAAAGTTTAAATAATGCAGACAGACATAGTTAAATGAGAGCAGTGAAAGACTGAGAAATTAAGTAGACAGGATGTTTCTCAGCGAAGGCGTATAAAGGCATTGGAGAATATATAGAAAGAAAATGCATTCCAAATAACAATACTTGCAGAGGGAGAACAGACTTAAGAAATGGAGAGCAAAGTGAGGAAGGGTGGGAGACGAGATCCTTGAGATAAAAATCTTTTATCGTATGTCCTTCTGGGATCTCTGTGCATGAAAGAAATTCCAGTCCAGGGTGGGGGGTTAGTTTGTCAGATGCCCATGTAAGGCCATCTCTCGAGTACTTTGTCATTGAAGATTACACTGGAGACACAAGTGTTTGATATTATCCTGAACATACCTCAGAGCTTTCCATCAGGATTGGTCACAACTCTGAAGATAATAAAAGGCATGAGTGTAGTAACAAAAAGCAGTTGGCAGTTTAGAAACACCTGGGCTTAAATAGGGAAAGTGGAGGAAAAATGAAAACAAGGATATCTACATCACAAAAAAGACACATTAATTCTTCTCCTCACCAGCAGGAGATCTGCTGCTAAATAATTTGTTTGCAGGGCCAAGGTTTTCACATCCACTGAAAAAAGCAATAAAAAACATAAAGAAAGGGCAGGTTTTCAGACTCGTCTGCTGTCTTTAAACAATATTAATTTTAAAAAAACGTAAGGCATTCCACCAAAATTTGTGGTGAAACTTTTATTTTGGTGCTGAGTCACAAAGATCACTGTGATCATTTTCTGTTGCTGGACAAAGACACCTGCAAAAATATTCTGCTCTTGCCACATGAGGTGAAAGCCCTGTGCTGGGAATTCACCCTGTGCTCTTACCTTTAAGAGAAGAGACTTGGGGTAGCAAAGCAATCTGTGTCACAAAAAGGCCACTGGTGTAAAGGCCTGTGCCAGGTAAGCCTGGGAAAGTGGCTGCGAAGCGAGAAGTTAGAGGTAGCAAAGAAAGGGTTAAGGTAGGTGGCTCAAGATCTGGTGTTAAGAACTTTGTGGTTTTGTAGACTTGCAGCACAGCAGAAAACACATTATTTGCTTACTTGAAATTTTAGAGCAGATGTTTTCAAACTTATGTTTCCAAACCAGAAACCCCTGACTCTATTTAGAGAAATACAGAGAAATGTGTTTATAGAAATTGTGCTTATGAGCTCGGAAAATCAGGCTAACTAGTTGTGCAAATATGATTTTTTAGGTGCATAATTAAAAAAACCTATTTGAATGCATTTCTGTACATATGATCCAGACATCTCATTCTAGACTTCAGAAAGAACTAAATAGTGTGTGAGCTGCATAGGCAATACAGGCATAGGCTGCTACATTTACAGCTAATCTTTAAAAGTATGATAGAAGAAATTGAATGAAGTGTGGCACTACAGATTGCCACAGGTAAAAGAAGTATCTGAAAAAATTGTCCTAAAAACCTGCTGTGTAACAACTTTGGGACTACTAGGATGATGTGGATACTTCTCTTTGAAGTAGGAAAGCGCTGTATGTGTAGAAAGTTAATAATATTTTGTCCTCATCAAGCTCCCGAATGCTCCCCGTTAATCATGTTACTAAGAAAATAGTGTCCGAGTGCTGGGAATGATTAGAAATTTACATTCAGAAATGATGCATCTGTTTGAGTTAGCGTATCTTGGAGGAATTATTTAAAATGCTTCTTTATGGAGTGTGTTCAATATAGAATATTGATTTGTTTTAGATCAAAGTAGCCCCTTTCTCATCCAGCTGTGTTCCCACAAAACAGGAATGGTAGATTAACATTCTAGACTGACATGAGAGTTAAAGATTGTAGACAAGAAAAATTATTTCTCTCCCAAGCTCAAGGTTTTAGATGAAGCTTATGAAACTGCCAATGACAATTTTTTTTTTTCCCCTCTGAAGACAAACAGATTTGATAGCCAGGAAGAAAGCTGACAGTTTTTTCTATTTGCTGTAAGAAAAAATAAACAAAAATTGCAGTAAGAGGGTATTTGTGTTGTTTCTCCTCTTCAGTTTGACTTTTGATTCTGTAAGCATTTGTGAAGTCATGAAATGCAATCTGTTGGTTGCAGTGGAACAGGATGGAGGCCTTGACGTTGATTTTGGTGGGGCCAAGGCTTTATACTCCTTAGGAGGATAAGTATTTTCACACCCTGGCTGCTTTACTGTGGTAAAGGCTCAGGGTGACTATTAACACACTCTTGTTTCTTCAGAGGTTAGAGTGAAGGAGTAGATTTTTTGTCCTAAGTGGCTACTAATTGGAAATACTATGGTAGGGCTCTGTTATTAAATTCTTTTGGTGTGATAGTAACATCTGTATGAGTCTCTGTGCATTATGGTATCCTGTTTGTCGATCAGCATATTTCTTTGTGTTAAATTTTTTACAATCATAACCTTCTCTGAGTGACATCTTTTATAAACTATAGAAAATAAAATCAGCTTGGCTATTTCTGTGGTTTCTATTTCTGTGGTTTCTATTGCTGCAGTCTCAAAGAACTTTGTGGTACATAGTTCTACATCCTGGTGAGATTAAACAATAGTTCTTGCTGTTCCCCTTTTACATTGTTCCCCTTTTACAAATGGAAACTGAGGCACAGAGAAATTAAATAATTTCCTCTCAGGTTGTAAGTTAAATCAGTGGCATAGCTGGGAATTGAATGAGGATTTCCAAGTTTCAGTACTTTGAATATGAAACTCTTCCAAACATGCAAAAGCTTAGACTACAGACTCGGTATTTGCTACATCTCACCGTAAGTTAAGTAGGCTGCTTAAATGTTTAATGTTGCTGTACAGAACATACTGGCTGACCTGTAGTAATTGCCAGTACCACAGGCTTTCTGTGTGGCATTTTTCATGCTAAAGGTTTGGTTTGTCATTTTACGAGAGGAACACCCTGCTACAAGAAGGTGCTAGTTTATTAGTAATTAAGACCAATTTTTGGGATTGCCTTTTAGGGAAAAGCTCACTGAACTTAGGACTCTAAACCTGGTAAGGGTCTAACTAGTACTATTAATAATGCTGCTACTAATGGCAGAGTGGGCTACTGCTTGGAGGAGTTATCTCCACAAAAACAGAGGCTGAGCCTGCTGCCTGTGGTATTCCTGCAGGTGTAGCTCACAGCAGCAGTTTGCTGGCTTTGGTTGGCCTGGGAACTTACTAGCAATAATTGTCCTGTTCTCTTTTCCATGTTTTGAGGACAACATGGTTTATTCTTTATCTTAGGGACTTTTGACTGCTTGGATGGGACGCACAGTTGATAGGGTTGACATAAATACATATTTTTAAAAAAGTAAATAATACAGCAGTTGATTTTATCAGGGTCTTTTAATTTGACCTAAGGCAAAGATTGAGGCCATTACATCTGCTTGGTTGTTGTTTGCTTTGTTGCTCCCAGTACAGATAATGATCTGAAAGCAGCCTTGCATTTCAAAATGCTTTTATTGCAAGGTCAGAATTTCAGAATTATAATCAGTTGTTTTTGTTTCTCTTACAGAGAAGAGCAAGAAGAATCCTCAGCAATTCGAGTTGGTTTTGTCACTTACAACAAGGTCCTCCACTTCTTTAATGTAAAAAGCAGCTTAGCTCAGCCTCAGATGATGGTGGTCTCAGATGTTGGAGAAGTTTTTGTTCCTTTGCTGGATGGTTTCCTTGTTAACTTTCAGGAATCACGATCTGTTGTTATCAAGTAAAGTATAATTGTTCCATATGTGAATAAGATCTGAATGCTTACGATATGCATTATGCCTTTTAGTCAATTATGTTACTGGGTTTTGGGGGTAGATGTATTTACTGAAATACTTTAGAAGCCAGCAGATGCTTCAAGTCATATATTTCCACCGCTGAGGCAAAGAAAAAGAGATCTTAACAAGCCCCCAGTGCTAAATTTGAAAGCATATTTAGGCCAGGTGTAAACCACGCATCTTCAGCTGTGCTTCTTCAAAAATGGGAGGGGGGTTGCAGCTGTGTGCCATGTTGCATGTTTTTCCTCTTGCAATGTATATGATGCACACCTGGATATGATCTAAGGACTCTTAAGTCCTTACAGCACACTAGAACACCTTAATTTTTAGCTATTTCTTATTTATTGAGTGTTCCTTTAGGTTACCAGCTTTGAAAGAATGCATCTCATAGCATTTAAAAATTCATATTTTGTTTTATTCTGGCTGGAATCCTAAGAAATTGAGCAATCAAAATTCATAATTTTTTTTTTTAATATAAATTTGCATGGAAAACATCTTCGTGTGTGAAGACCTGGTATGTCACAAGGTATGTTTGGGGATTATCCCAAATACGCTTACCAGTTGTGACACTGATCCTTTCGTCTTTCATAGCTTGTTGGACCAGATTCCAGAGATGTTTGCAGACACTAACGAGAGTGAGACCATCTTTGCTCCTGTCATCCAGGCTGGCATGGAGGCGCTGAAGGTTAGAATGTTCCTCTCTTTAATAAGACTTGATAAGCTGCAGAAATTCTGTTTGCTAAAAGCCAGTCCCAAGTCCTCCTACAAATCACAATGGGAAATTAGAAAAAAAAGTCGCTGATTGTTTCCAGTACTAATGTTCCGTTATTCTGACAGTACGTTTGAACTGCCTTAGCCAAAATGAGAACACTGAGAAGCATAACGTCTGTTTCCAGATTTTGCTTATTGAGGGAAACCAGTCCCTAGAGTCTATTCTACACAGAATGGATGTTTAGGAGAAGATGAGGAGCAGAGGTTGGTTTCTCGTTCAGCATTTGAGAGAAATAAAAAAGGGTTTCGTTACTGCAACAGAACTAATAGATACTCTGGATGTTTGCACAGATATCCAGTCCTTGCATGTGTGAAAGGCAGGAAAAGCGTCAGTAGAAGATATGATTTTGCCCTGCCTGTTCTGCTTCTGCTGACTACTTATGCAAAATGAGATATTTATGACTATTTATGACTGAATTGGGTAGGGGGTTTGAGGGTTTCCACTTAACTGACCAGTTCTCACAGCTTGAATACAGCTGGAAATGAATCCACAGGTCAAGATGCATCCCCAGTTGCTTTCTGTATGTCCGGGACATCCCCTAAAGTGCTGACATTTCCATGGAGCACTGCCAATTAAAAGAATGCCACCATGGTTCACCACAAGATCTGTAGGGGCAGAAAACAGCCAGTGGTGTTTTAAAATAGTTGATTTATCTGCAAGCTGTGTATAAGTAAAGCGTGAACTTTGTTGAACCGAAACGATAAATTTGTTGAACCGAAAATATACGTTTATCAAATGCGTTTCTTAAATATTTAATTAATACCTGTTTTCTTGTTATTTATTCATTCTGCCAGGAGGTATGTGTGCAAAACATACATGTAGTTACCACTTCTGTCAGAATGCTTTTCCCTAATACTTGACTTCTACAAAACAATCTTAAGGGCCATAATTGTAAATTTCCTTTGATATTGGCTATAAAAGAAAGCAGCTCTTAATTAAGCTTTTTATTTAGCTCAGTATTTTAAAGTTATAATTTGTCAGGATTTTCACTGTGGATTATTAATATGCATATACCTATGCTCAAGAAAACTATTCTTGTCTAAAAAGAATAAAATAGATTGTGTTCCTATTTGAGATTAATTTTAATACACTTTTAGAAATAATATATATACATTTTAGAAAATTTGTCAAAAGCAATGTCAGTAATTCCTGATCCGTATCGTGACAAATAGGTATTTGGTAAGTCTTTCAGTCTTCAGCAGAATGCTTCATAAAAGGAATTGAAGAAATTGGCATTCATGGTTAAAGATAACTATGCTTGAAATATTAGGGGTTAAATTTCAGCTTTGTTAAAAGAAAGATACTGTCTTCAATTGCATTTCTGCCATAGCAAAGAGATATCTAGTTTTCCCAGAAGAATGCCATAGCTTATTTTGAAATGTGGAATATCTTTATCTTGTGAACATCTTAAGATCTGGAGGAGAAAGAGTACCAAAGCTGATTTGTGTCTGTAGTCTTGGGTGTTGCAGTTTTAACCTGGATGTGCGGTTAAGTCTGGAGCAGGAAAAGGACAAATTCCTCTTTCCTCCTTCCTTCCCTTCACCTTCACCCAACTTCTTCAATACTTGAAGACCTCAGAATTGCTAATCAGTTTTCATTTCACTTTGCTTTAACTTTTGGTCAGCCCTGAAGTGGTCAGGCAGCTGGACTAGATGATCGCTGTAGATCCTTTCCAGCTGAAATACTTGATTCTATTCTGCTCATTCCCATTAGCTGTCTTAATAGTAAGTGATAAGCTGGATTTTCTAAATTTTGGTGGAAAAGCTTGTTAATAGTACAGAGATGCCTGCGGTACTGCTACTGTCGTTACTCTCTTCTTTGGAATTCAGGGTTTTGTCATCTCAGTAAATACCATGTTCTCGTTAGAGTTCTAAATAAGAATAGAAAACTTGAATAAAACTGACAGTTACTTCATTTCTTAGTGACAGGAGGAAATGTTCATCACAAGTTTTTGATACTCCTGCATTTTAGTGTAGATTTGAATGTGGAATCTAGTACAGGAATGTAATTATTGCTTGTCTATAAAAATGTAGTGAACGCTAGTGTGCCTGAACTGAAAGAAATAATTTTCCTGTTAAATTACATTTCCTTTTAATTAATTTTATCCAATTTAGTATTTGTACTTTTGATACTTGTTGATTGTTGCATAATGCTTGTATCCAACTGGAAAGTCTTCAAGAGAGGTACTCCTAGTTTTGCCCATCAAGATTTTAGATTCCTATATAGAAACTACTGTAACAGTGCATCAGCAAACGTATCTGTGTGCTAGACTAAGTTGTTTACTGACATAAAATTCCCAGTTTGTTTAAGGACTTATTTCCATCAAGTTTTGAGTCTCTAAATGAATTATTTAGCTCTGAGGAACCTGCAGAAAGTTTACACTGTTCTCTGAGATACCACAAAGTATGAAAATTAGGCTTGTTTATCTTAGCAGTAATAAATATGCCAATATGGTGTCTTTGAAACAGGCTGCAGAATGTGCTGGAAAATTGTTTGTCTTCCATTCTTCATTGCCAACTGCAGAAGCACCAGGGAAGCTGAGAAACAGAGATGACAAAAAACTACTCAGTACAGATAAAGAAAAGGTATTTTGTACTCTGAGTTAACAAGGGACTGCTATTACACTGAATTTCTCTAATAGAGCCTTGATCTTTTTTTGTTTATTTTCTTTTACAAAGATGTGTTGTTTAATTATGTAATACTCCCATTCTCACCATGCCCTGATTGTATGGGTATATTGATACTGGCCCCACAGGAACACCAAAGTCAAACTATGGTAGAGCAGCCATTCTCATCAATAAAGGAAACCCCCCAGCAGCAAGTAATTCCACCCATCAAGAGCCTTTGCTACCTGCCTATTTAGTGATTTAGTTCTCTGAGAACGTACGGAGTTGGTTCCCTGCGTACGAGTATATGGGCAGGGGCAACATGTTTTTAATCAAATCCATGCCTCACTTAAAACTTCCACTTCATCTTCTTTTCTTCAAGTGGACATTTGGATTGTGGTTGGCTACCAACAGTATCTAATGTTATGACACTTGTATTTTTTAATTCTGTGCAGACACTCTTCCAGCCCCAGGTAAATTCTTACGAGGCCTTAGCCAGGGATTGTGTGGCTAATGGCTGCTGCGTGAATTTGTTCCTCTTCCCAAACCAGTACGTGGATGTAGCCTCCATGGGTCTTGTCACAGTGTACACTGGGGGAACATTGTACAAGTACAACAATTTCCAGGTAAGTGATGCAGGTTTCCTGCCTTTCAGATAGTAACACCTGGGGATTTGTTGTTTTTCTTTTCATTTCAACATGTGCTTTGGTGTTTAACATAAAAGTAGAGTGACTCTAGAAAACTTACGTATAAACTCCAGGGGATAAAATTCAAACTTGGGAATGACAGATCAGGCTCAAATATATACCTTGAAACAGTAATAAGCTGGTTGGTATCTTAAAATGAAATCCACTTACTTAAATATGCTGGCATCTGAGCGGGGAAGTCAATTACTCCTCTATATACAGATAAAGCCACTTATGATAAAGACCCCCAAAAAAGCCGTAACACCACTTGTTTGTTTAAAATTTTATGAGAATCTCTCTGGGGAGTAGGGGACTTTCTCTGTGTCAGGAGCTGACCTGCAAAAGCATTTTTTTGTGAAGTCAGTAAGGCTACTCTGTAGAATTCTTAAGGCTGTGCCATAAAATCGTTTCTGTTAACAAAACAACAGTCAACATTGTTTAATCCCTTTTTAAAGGAAAAGAGAGATGTTAAATGTGAAAAGAACAGATTTGATGGTGGGGGGGGTGTCACAGCGAGGGGGAGAGGGTTGGGTTTCTGCCATGTTGCTGCCACCCGGTGGTGAACTGCAACTTTTGCTTTGCGTTTCTAGCTTGATGCCGACAGCCCACAGTTCTTAAGTGACCTCAGGAAGGACATAGAAAAAAAGACCGGATTTGATGCAATAATGAGGGTTCGGACAAGTACAGGTAATAGTACCCGTTGGGAATGAAAATAAACATGAATACATACGGCAATATATAATCTAAATAATATAGTGCTGTACAGATCACTTGTAAGATTAGGCTAACTGTTTTAACTTCATTATGTACCTCTTGAAAAGTAGTTGGATAGACTGATAAAATGCATGAATGTGTTCTTCCTGTGTATGCCTCCATAATAATTAATTTTCAAATATAAGTAAGGCTTCTGGTCATTATGCATGCATCTTGGATTACAAGTAAGTTGTATAAAAAAGCGTTGCTGCTGGACACTTACATGTTCCTTCATTTTCATACTTCAAATGACATTACCGTGTCTACTTTTCAAGCATTCATTCTTACCTCAAGTGCAAGTATTTGAGAAACATACACACACAAAGTGGCCACGTCAACAGCACAAAAGGTTCTGGGTGGTCTCAGAGTCACAGCTTTTTGCTCTCACCCAAGGGTCAAAAGATGCCATTGGCGAGGACAGTTGGTGGGACCCCCTGAGGCTGCAAATCCCTGAGGGAAAATGGTTCCTGTTTCAGTAAGCAAAATTGACTGACCATAAAAAGAAAATCACAGAATAATGTCGATTTTATTTGTCTTTTTTAAATAAAAGGACACGTTTGTTCTGTTCTAATCTGGCTGTAGGCTTCAGGGCTACGGACTTCTTTGGTGCTATTTACATGAACAACACCACAGACGTAGAGATGGCAGCAGTTGACTGTGACAAGGCAGTGACAGTGGAGTTCAAACATGATGATAAACTGAATGAAGACAATGGAGCCTTAATTCAGGTACAAAAAAACTTAACTACATGTAATGTCATGAAATTATGAGCAAGAACTTCTGCAGCTGTAATAGAAAAAAAGTTATGGTGTAGGACTGATGGGCGCAAGGCACAGCTTGCACCAGACTCTGGTGACATAATACCCCTAGTAAAAAAAAAGTTTTTAATTAACTAGCCAAAGGTCGCATCTTACCTCAAAAGCACAAACAGTGCCCCTCATGACAATTAGTGTGTTCACCTACCTCTATACTGCATGTTCTATTCAGGGATAGTGAAATGCTTTCTAAACACTCACCGAGACCTTGTCAGCTATTATCTTCTCCGTTTTACTAAATAAGTTTATTTGGAGTACAAGATTCATTACTACTTATATGGAAACTGTTATTTTGGTGGCATTCCGTATGACATCTCTGTTCAAGAGCAGTTCTCTATTGCTAAACATCCCTTCCAACCCTACGGACTGCTCAAGACCCACCAGCAATGGTACCCGTGCAATGAAAGGTCTCGCTTGCAAACTGTCAGCTGCCTGCCCTGCTCCCTCAGGCTCTTGGCAAGTGAGTGCTAGAAGCCCCGCAGCACTCACCTGCTGTGAGTGCTGATGTACTCTGTGAATTATGACGAGACGTGCAGCGCCCTCTTCCCCATGCAGAGTGGTCCCAGGCTGTGAGCGGAGAGGGGAAAGCCCTCCATCTTCCTCTGCTCAACTGGATGGCCCTGCAGGCTCAGATCAGCCTGGCCGCAGTAGCACCACTAGCACAGGAATTTTGCCTACGGTATCAGGTTCCGACCTTGAAAATGCCAGGCTGCTCCAGAGCCAATTAAATCTTTGCTTCCTGCCTTAGTCCACAACATGGGACCTCAGTAACAGTTCCTGGAAACACCACTTAGGCAGTAATTGATACTTCGCGTAAATTGCCAACAAACTGACTTGTGATGCCACTTAGGCAGTAATTGATACTTCTCCGCGTAAATTGCCAACAAACTGACTTGTGATACATCTTCTGTTAGGAATGGGAGTATCCCACCCATTATCAGATAATGGGAGGTTGTTTACTCTTCTAGATGTTTAGTTATGACCTTTTTCTTGTTTAATGACAGAAAATGTTACAGTTTGCAAGGTTTTAAACTTAAGCCATTGGAATTATCTTTTTATTTCTGTTCTGCTTGGCTTTTAGCTTGCCCCTGTAAAAAATACATTTCATAGGTCAGCTGTTAATGCCTGTATGAATACATTACTGTGAAACATCCAGTTTGGTACGTCTGAAATCGCTTCCTAGGGCCATGCTGCAGCAGTGACAGGGATGTGTGTGCCACGTAGATGTTGCATTTACAGCTCTTTCATATGAGATACACTTGTGGAAGTATCTAATGCAAGGCAGACTACAGTAACTTGGAGTCTGTGTTTCCCCTGCAGCCTTTGGATCATACATTATATTGAAGTATCAACATATATTGAAGTAGAATTGGAGTCATTTGGAAATTCTTAAATTACACCCTCAATTTTTAATATCTAAGCTCATGGCAGATGCAGGATACAGGGGTTAGCAGGACCTCGTTTCACTTCATAAGCAACTTAATCACATAAAAAGAACCACCCAACTTTTCAAGATTAGGAAGTTTTTCTGTTGTTTTTACCAAGACAGAATGTGATGGGCAAGCTTCTCATCTCTTGTATGGCATCTTTTGAGATACATTTATTTGAACTGTTCAAATGTTACACAATTACAAAGTATGATTTACAAATTTACAATCAGTGGTCTCTCTTGTGTTCAGATGATACCATCAGTGTGTAGCAAATGAGAGTAATAAGCCTTTCAATGAGTCATATTATTATTTTTTATAATTTCAGGATTAGTAACTTCTATAATGTCTAGTATACGTCCATCAAAAATGCAGGTATGTTTGTCCTATAGATGACAGAAGCACTGACGCAGCACTGCAACGCGAGGCTGTCTTCAGAAGTAATTATATGCCTTTTACACACAAAGCAGGTGGCTCTTGCATGATGGAAGTTTTTTCTTTTAAAATAAAAATAAATGGTAATTTGTTCCTCTCTTGCAGTGTGCTGTCCTTTACACATCAATAAGTGGGCAAAGACGACTTCGCATACACAATATAGGTTTAAATTGTAGCTCCCAGTTAGCTGATGTCTACAAGACTTGTGAGACCGATGCACTGATCAACTTCTTTGCTAAGTCAGGTAAAGTTACAACAGACCAATTTTGTTTCCTTTTTTACTTTGGGGTGGAGGAAGGGGAAGGAAAGGGAGCTGAAGTGATTACCTAGTGCGAAATCATGTTTTGTAGCTTGCTGCTCCGAGCCTGAGCAACTCCTGAAGTATTAGAAAATTGAAAAGACAAATAGATGGCATATTTTAGACATACTGCCATAAAAGTAATGGTTGTGAAGGTAGCTAGAAACATGTAATGCACAAAACTGTATAGGCACAGTAGTAGAAATGGACATTCTATCAATAGTGTTGGAGGTTTGGTGGGGTTTTTTTTTTTTTTGGCAAAGATGAATAAACATCTTCCAAGCTGCTGTCTGTAAAAGAGACTAAAAAACAGCCATAGACCTCAGGTTAGTAAAATTAGAAGCTAGCAGAATACAGATACTTTAAGAGTACGTGTCCATCTTTAACACGCTTTTTTATTCTTCTGCATTTGTAGCTTTTAAAGCCATTCTAAGCCAACCACTGAAGATGGTCAGAGAGATCCTGGTGAATCAGACGGCTCACATGCTGGCGTGTTACAGGAAGAACTGTGCCAGCCCGTCGGCAGTAAGCCAGGTAAAACCTATCCGAACTCAGTCCTCCCCCAGCCAGGCTTTGCAGCAGATGAACGACCACCCCTGCAACATCAGCAGTGCCAGAAAGGAAAATTTCGGGACAGACTTTGCCTTTTCTTTCAAAGACAATTAATGACAGGTGGGATTCAATGGTAGCAATTCCAGCACACGGAGGCTGTTGTTCTGGAACAAATGACAATGCCATTGAGGAAACTGATGATCATATTCACACACAAGAGCTTAGACAGCCTTTTTCTTCCTGCTGGAATTATGTGCTGACTCACAAAGCTTTCATTTCTTCTTCTTATGTTGTTAAAGATTTTAGTATTCTAATTTTTTACAAATAAGACTGTTATTGTCAAAAAATGAAAATAACATTGTATCTTAGTAAACAATCTGACTTTGCATGTAGGTCTTTCAGGTGTGCTGGAGTGATAAATAGCTGAGGTCTAGATGGGGCCAAACTCCTAGGGGTCAAAAAAATCCATAGTGATTAAGATAACAGTCTGTTAACTAACTCCTTTTTTTACCAAAGGGTAGTAAGAAGCTCTAGGAACTTGATTACTTATATATTCCACACTACTTGAAAATTCTCTCAACTTAAGACACCTCTATTATTTTCAGCCCATTCTTTTATATATATTCAGAACGTTTGGGGAGGTTAACTGAACCAACAGGAAGGTGTTTTCAAATCCTTTCAGCAACTGTTTCTGACAAAAAGTATTTTTTTGTTTCAAACAAATACTCAAAAGATGGCTGAACTAAATCCAAATCCTGTAAGCATTTGAATTTAACTTCTATTTTTCTTGCAACTCTCAAAATACTGCTCTGTGTCCTTCAGATTTTGAGGCACTTTAAAAAAAAAAGACTTTCTGACACTTTTTGAATGACAGTTGGCAATTTTGTACATTAATGCTGAAGTTAATAGGAAGGTCAAAGGACTCTAGACAATTTTGGGGGCCTTTGATCTAGATTAGTTCTTTTGATCTCCTTAAAATTGTATTTTCCAATTCCTTCTTCTTAAATGTAATGTATAGATTATAATTATTAGCACATCCTAATTATGAGACTTAAAATTCAATGCTCCAGTAAAAGCAACAGTTGTTTCCTTCTAAATTATTCACCCTTATGTCCAGGCAATTCAAGTTACAGAAAGACTAAGGCTTTTACATACCATGCAATGCTTCCAATAGTCAAAAGCCTGGGCAATGAATTGTTTAATGTTAGTGAGGACCAAATATGTTACAAACAACACCAAAGAGACACTTACTGTGGACCTTCATTTCCCTCCTACATTGTTCAGAGAAAAAACACCCACCCATCTGTTGGATTCTTATTAAATGTATTAGCCATTCAGAGCTGCCGCATCTTGTTTGAAACAGCACATATAAAAAAGTTTTCTAGTTTTTCTCTCTTTAATCAAAGAAAACAAGCAGTGGTTTGTTTAAATGTTGGAAGTCCAGCTCTCATTCCCCAGCACGTGGGATATATTAAATAACAAGCTTTCTCTGCCTCTCAGCTCATCCTTCCGGATGCAATGAAGGTGCTGCCAGTGTACATGAACTGTCTGCTGAAGAGCTGTGTGCTAGTTGGCAGACCAGAAATTCCAACTGATGAGAGAGCTTACCATCGACAGCTGGTCACGTCTATGGGGGTAGCCGACACACAGTTGTTTTTCTATCCCCAGCTTCTGCCAATTGTGAGTATGTTGTTTGCACATCTTTTCCTTTTTGGTAAAACTATTTTCAGTATGCTCTGATTTTATAATTGTGCAGATGCAGAAAAGATTCTGTCTGCTGGGCAAGTGTGGTACTACCACACTGGAGTACAGTGGTACTGTGATGTAGTTGCTAGTTGAACCAAATTGAGGAGGGAGGGTAGAACCTCTAGTTTAATGGAAAATGGGGAAGTAACATTATCATCGATGTAAGCACCCTCTAAGAATCTCACTGTACTTTTAACAAGGTTTTTGCCCAGGCTAATGAAAAGATGCCAGCTTTACTAAAGATCAACACTGGTATGCAAGTGTCTCCCAACTTTGCAGACAGTGCATTAAATGCAAAAGAAGAGGTTTGACTTCTAATTCCTCTAATCTGGAAAGGAACCACTAAGACACACTAAACCTTTCAATAGTTACTTTTCAGTATCTAATTAGAGCTTCAGTCACCGTGAAGTGACCCAAGTCTACAACTCTTGTGTATTTTTGCCCCACAGCACAGCCTGGATCTGAAGAGTGACGCTGTCCCGGCTGCCGTCCGCTGCTCCGAGGAACGTCTCTCAGAAGGAGGGGCCTTCCTTCTGGCCAACGGTCTGAGTATGTTCCTGTGGCTGGGAGTCAGCACGCCCCCAGAGCTCATCCAAGGGCTTTTCAACGTGCCGTCCTTTGCACACATCAGCACAGAAGCGGTGAGTAGGTGGAGACTAGTCCCTTTTTTAGAGTTCATGATTTAGTAAGACAAGAGTGCTAATCAGAGAAACAAATGAGGCAGATTTTCATCATGCAACTAAAAGCAGAAACAGGTGACCAGCAGAAGGTGTTAAGACGCCAGAAGTAATACATAAAACCTTAATAAGCTTTTACACTCTGAACACTCAGGAGCTTTCACAACATTTTTAAACCTTCTTAAACTTTCACTGTGGCAGATATTAAAATCCTATTGAATGTTGTTGCTAAAATTCACAATAGTTTCTCCTGATAGTGAATTTTCATACAGTGATTATTTTAAACTGAAAAATGGCTTAGACAGATGAGAGATGTTTTTGTGCAGCATCTGCCAGTTCAGAATTAAATCCACAGTAACCTGCATCATAAATATCAGCAGCTAGTCTTGTATGAATATTCATAAGAGATGTAACTGGAAGATGACAGCCTGCCATGCTTTTGTTCTGACAGACATCACTGCCTGACCTGGACAATCCATTTTCTAAGAAACTTAAGTCAATACTGGAGCATATCCAGAGCCAAAAGCCCTACACTATGAAGGTAAGACTTTGCTCTGCCTCAGCTCATTCCTCATACCTGTTCAAAAGAACACTACTGGCTTTGACAAAACTTACCAGTAGCTGTAGAAGGTTTTACGTATCAGTGAGTTCCAGCATGCATTGTAGCACAAGCATCTCAAATGTGCTTAACTCTTAATCAAAAGAGATTTTCAGAGGTAGTCAAGTCTAATGGTTACCATTTTATTCTGCAAACCTTAATTCACACTAGCCTCTCTCCCCTGTGTTCATAAATACAGCTACCAAAATACGGAGATTTATTAGTTTTGGGATTTTTTTTCCCCCCTCAACAGCATACAGTAATAGATACAGGAAAACAGTACTGCCATTTAGTGTGATTGTATCCTAAAAGTATGTATCTCTCATCTTTTCAGCTGATTATAGTGAAACAACGGGAGCAGCCAGAGATGCTTTTCCGACAATTCCTAGTAGAAGACAAGAGTATTTATGGAGGAGCTTCTTACGTGGATTTCTTATGCTGTGTTCACAAAGAGATCTGCCAGCTGCTCAGTTAAGGAAATTCAAGTATAATTTGTCAGTTTCTTTTTGATTTTGCAAGACAGTCGTTGGTGCCTGAAGGCTGGCCCACAGCTCCACCATACCTGGGCATTCTGCTGTGCTTTAGAGTGAACCTTTTCTGTGCTCTTTTTGTACAGTTTCATTTCACACAACCTCTCACTGAGTATTTAGTTTACTTATTAAGCTGTAGAATAGGAAGTTCTGCACTCAGGTATTAATCTTTTGGGAGTCTTGACTCTTTCTCTAAGTTGAACTGCCAGATTTCAAACTGTCAATGCTTAAGAGCACATGGTATGCATTTATTAAAATATAATTTAGAAGACTCTTTAATTATTCCTTTTGCTAGTCATAAGTTGTACAAGAGCCAGGAAAGATGCTAAAAATCTATACAGAAAAGGAAAAAAAAAAAGAAAACACTGCTTTTTTTAAGTGAGGGCATACAGTTGAATCAGATTTGCAGTAATCATGTGGTTCAATTTGAGTACTTCAAAGTCCTTCATGTAAAGCTAATCTCTAAAAAATAATCCCCTTTTTCCCAGAAGGGACAAGCATTACCATCTACAGAAACAGAGCTCTGCGTAACCTTCCACCCAGGGCTATCCAGGACACAAAAATGCCTCAAGTTTATAACTGGACTGGAGTAAGCTTAACAACAATGGACTACAGGAAGATCAGTAACCAAACAATCCTTTTGCTAAGTTTGGCAGATAGTGCGACACTATTATGGTACAATTCTCTAGGCTTAAGGGCAGTAATTAATTTAGCATACTATTTAATTACATTTTCAAAACTGAACATGTTCGGTTTTATTTAGTACATTTGCTAACTGGAATATTCCCAATACAACTCAGATAAACATCTGTCCCTCAAAATTTCAGTGGCAGGTCAACTGTAAGACAGTTGACACATGAACCAAAGGTTATTTGTGGTGCTATAAAGAGAAAGCCTCTTGTTTAATACGAGTTCTATTACAGTGACCTCCTCTCACAACTGATTTATTCCACAGTCACCGCTTTGAAAAATAAGCCTCTGCTAATATGAGTATTTAAGGTAGAATTTAGAAAGCCAGAGTCTTTTGAAGAGCTGTTTACCTCAGATACAGACAGACTGATGAAGTACCTCTAGGACAGAGATCTCTAGGACCAATGCCTCTGCACGTGAGGTTTGAACTTTTCCAAACGTGAATAGCTGTTGTTACAAAAATCAGTGTTTCAAGGAAAGCAAAAAAACCTCAAAAGTAAGGGTAAGAGCTGGGCCTCATTAAAAAAAAGTGCCTTTAAACATGTTAATATTGCTACTTAGTGTTAATCATTGTAACATCCAAGCTAAGTAGTCAAGATGCATATTTCTTGGTTTGACAGCTTTATCGAAACAGTTGTATCCTTGTGCATTGACTGAGAGCTCTTAAAATAGGTGGCTATTATTACAAAAGGATCCTCGGACTGAATTTGGCTGCCAGGACAAGCACTTTTTGGCTGAGGACACTACCTTGTAAGAAGTATTTGTTGCCGTTCCAAATTAGCATACTTTGTAAAATGACACCAGCAACTCTTTGTGTAAAGACATAAGCTTATTAAATATAATGATCATGTGTGTGTTTACTCTTTCATATACTAAGTTCTCCAAGTTTTTTATGCTAGCAGCCTCCGTCAAAAGCTATCCAACACCTCTTAGACAGTAGCACCTAAACCTCATACCCCAGGTCACTACAGAGGGTGCAATGGAAACTGGCTTCAGGGTTCCTGTAACTCTTCTCCCTGCCTTTCCCTTGTAAGCACAGCCAGACAACATAAAAAGTGTTACCCTGACTTCAGGAGGCAGGGAACATGGCAAAGTTAAATTAGCAACAGTAATTCCTACACAGCATAAACAATGCTATGCATCCAACAACTAATGAAGACCACTGTAGGTCACCTTCTCCTACCCCAACTTTAAAGACAGGCAAGCTTATCTGGGCATTACAGAATTTTCAGTGTGTTTCTGCTGTCAGCGTCACCCCCAGTTATGGTAAGGAGACCTGCTCAAGCTAGGTCTCAAATGTGCCAAAACAGCTTGTTGACAAAAACATGTGCCAAAACAGCCTGGCAAGTAAACTGTTCTAGAAAAATCACTTAACAGGTGAGTTGGGAAATGGGAAGATGCAGCAATTCTCACCTAGTAAGGCAGTGCAATTAGGGAAATGTTTGTGCTCAGCTGCTGAAGAAAGTTCATGTCAACTGCAGTGAATGAGAGTTTTCCCTCAGAGGTAGGAAGCTGGTGAGCTGCTCCCCCAGACAGCTCCTGCCTCAGCCACGCTTGCTCAGGACCCATGTCCTTACCTTTTTCCACGGAGTTTGCTGATGGCCAGAAGATCATGTCTGCACCACAACCACGTGCATCTTCTGCTTGGCCAGTTCAGGCCCTGCAAGCAACACTGACCAACTGCTTTAGGGCAACTTGTTGTACACCTAGAATTCTGGAGCAAAGCGTGCACGTCACTTACCTGTGCAAAGGTAAAGCCTAGAGAGAGCAGGATTTCAGGCACAGAGGTGCTATTCAGAACAAAGTTGTAGTAAGACAAAGCTTTTTATACTTGCAGGGCTAATTCATCAGAGCTCTAGCCTTTCATGTACATTAAGACATCAAAACAGCTAAACTAGCACCAGCATACAGACACGCATTGATACAGGAGCTCTTGCAGTAGTCATAAAAGTTATCACACAGACATATTAAAGTCTTTTCCCCAGCATAAAAAGTAGTACTGTCATATTCAACTCAGATTTACAGTAGTTAGGCCTTTTTTTTTTTTCTTTTTCCTTTTTAATTCTAATAATTATACTGAATAATTATACTGAAATTATTATACTGAAATACTGCAATATTTATACTGAAAATTACTTCACGGTTTGCCACAGAATTTACCTACTGCTTGCTTTTTTCACCCATGAGAATGACCCTATTACGAAAAGGACTAGTAAGCTTTCCTCCATGTTATTAAGTTGACCTTCATCCCATTGCACTGGGCTATTTCTACTATAGCAATACAGTTGCCACCCACTTTACCAATTTTGGAAGGAGAAATGTTTTTTTTCTACTGCGTACAGAAACAGTGAGCCTCATTCTCTAGCACTTTCAGCTATTCAAATGTAGCCTTAAAAAGCCACATTCAAGAAACAAAAGACTTAGATGTTTTCAATGAAATGGGCTTGAAGTGTTCTTTTTATTCTTTTCTAGAGTGCATTCTGGATATTTCTATCCCTTGCCAAGGATTTTAAAACATCTCAGTATTCTAAAATTAATCCCTTGACTTCATGCCATTTAACGTCCATTGTCAGATCAAAATTGTTCTTCAATTGCAGCCTAACTTCCACTCTACTGGCCAAAGCATTCGGTATCTACAAACACACGCAAAGAGCCTGTGTTCGCAATACTGCACTGGCGCAGAACTTCAAAACCCCTGAGAGCGCTGACCTGCACAGCACATCCAGCATTTCAACCGACTTCTTACAACCAGCAGTGTCGGAAAGCGGAAAGAATTCTCAAGCTGATGGCTGGATTTACACACACTGATGTACAGTTGACCGATGTCTTAAAATCCCTTTGAAGCTAAATGCCAAGACATCCTGCGTATCTTGTCAGTTGTCAAATCCTTCACTTACTTAATTCATACAGGGTGTAAGATATTCAAAGTACTATAAGCCTCTTCCAGAATGGAAAGATGACAAGATCTAGACAGGCATCCCAAACAAAATCGGTGGCATTATGCATTTAATAAAACTGGAAGGGAAGAAACTTGTTAGGCTTTTTATCTTCAAGGAGAGCGTGTTCAAATTAAGTCTTCGCTTACTTGTGGTAAATGAAATATTCATCAGTTCACTGATGATGAGCATTATCCTCCCTCTGTTAAAGCGTTACAACTGAGAAATTAACTGACAACAGGTAATGAAATTTAAAAGCTTTTAATCTCTAGACACCACTTTAGATATGGTCCAAATCAACAGTGATTAAAAAGTGACCAGATGTTTTTACTGTGTAATTGGGGGGGGAGGAGGGGGTGAAGAATAGTGTCTCACTACAGTATTTTCTAAGCATCATCTCCACAACCACGTGTACGTGACACAAAGCCTTTGGGTACACGCACCCATGCGCTGCTGTCTTTCTTACCTTTACAGGCTATCTATCACTGCCGAAACACCACCTTCAGATTACGACCGGCAGGTATCCTTCTTCGTAGGGGACATGTAGAAAGTTCTATTTCCTTGTCTGTTAACCTCAATTAAAAAAGTACGGTCAGGTGCTTGTGAACAACATGTACATCACACTTCCCCAGTGAAGTTGGCCCACGCAGACAGATCTAACCTAACATCCTCTGGAGCAGTATTCTGTTTTTCCTTACACTACTTTAGCTATTTCAGCTTTGAGGGGAAAAATGAGAAACCTGACTCTACACCCTCAAGAGGGATTTATTTGGCATAAATTTTTTTTTTTTTTTTTAAATTTCCCAAGTCACTGAAGTCTTGAGCAGCAGCCCGACTTCTGCAAACTGATACAGATGCACATCTCAACCAGTTGTTTTTGAGTCTTCTCTTCAGTGTAGCCTAATCATCTATGTTAAGAGTAGCCTAAGCACTGAACTATCAGCTACGGCCATAGAATTAAAAGGGGGAAATGGGAATTAACGTTTTCTACTAACTGAGAAAAAGAGAAAAAGATTGGTCTCCGGCACAAAAGCAACCTTCCTAAGGCTAAGTGTCTCCAGTATTTACTTTTTGAGTAAGAACATGATTAGGGCAAAATCACAAACAAGTTTTCTTACTGTGGCATATAACTTCTATCAGATGCTGTTCCAAGCAGTCTTTGGCAGCCTTCACTGACAGTCAAGGGCTGCACTACCCTCAGAACACCCTCTCCCCCAAACCCTGTCACTCTTCAGATGTGCGAATACAATACAAGAAACAAAATGTAAACAATAGGCGAGTTTCATTTGCACTTCAGCAGTCCCTTCCTAAGTGCACTA